TTTTGGCCCATTTTCTTGCTGCAGTAGTTAAGTGAATCCCAGCAGTTGTTAAGTTACACGGTTATAAAGTGAATCTGGCTTCCCCATTGACTTTGCCAGTTGGAAGGTGATCCCCCAGGACACTGCAAATGTCATAAACATGAGTCAGTTGCAAAGTGTCTCTGTTGATCATGTGACCATGGGAATACTGCAACCATCTGTCAAAAGTATGAAAAATGGTCACAAGTCACTTTTTTCAGCATTGTTATAATTTCAAACAGTCAGTAAAAAAAAGGAATTGAGGACTACCTGTGCTAGCTTGATCACTTGTTTGGGTGGCTATAGAAATTAAATAAATAATTATATCCAGAAATAATTATTGTTCTTTGCTTCCCAGTCTAATCTCAAAAGCACCTGGTTAATCTTGTCTGATTTCAGTAAGATTAGAACTGGATTGGAGGCCACCAGAAAATCCCAGGGGTGATGAATTGAAAACACCATCACTTCCTTACCACTGTCAGAAAAATCTGTCTGGGTGTATCCTGAGATCATTAGGTGCTGAACTCACTTCAGTCTACTTTTAGGCATCTTCTCTCAAAGTCAAATATGCCCCCTAATCCTCACAAGGCAGCTGCCTCTGCAGTAGTTGATGAACCTTTTGTGTTCTGAGTTCAAATCCCAACTAAATTGTAAAGCTCACTGGTCAACTGCAGACACATTGCAGCCTTAAGGTTGTTAAAGAAAGGAATTTGGGGCAAATTACTTGAGCTCAAAAAGGGAAAGGAGTACAGTTCGAATAGCTTCCTTTTTTTTTTTTAAGAAACCCACCCGAAGAGCTTCACCTGGGGCCCCCCGCACAGCCGACAGGCAGGCCCTCCTTCCCAGCAGCAGAGCTCTCACCAAGGCAGCGAGTGCCTCCCCGCCGGACCCTCCGCTCATCCCACCAGGGCCGCGCCGGAGCCGTGCAGGCTGGGCAGAGCTGGGAAAGTGAGCCGCAGGTGCGCACCCGCCTGCCAAGCGAAAGAGCCGGGCCGACCCAAGCTTGGCTTCCTTCCCAAGTCCCTCCAGCCCGAACCTGAAGGGGCCACTGGGAGAGGCCGCCTGAGGCAGTGATAGTGCCCACCCATCCGTGGACAGGGAGGCAAGGCGATGGCCTGAGCCACATCCTCCTGTGAGCTGAGCCCCACCGAGTCAGTGCCTCTGCCTGATGCCCGTTCCGCTGCAGCATTTGGAGCTGCCGGCGCATTTGGGGATGCGTGGGGACGGGGATGGGCTGGGTGAGGGGTGGAAAGGACGGGGGGCTTCAGGCTCTTTCCGCTGGCCAGGGAAGCAGTGCTGCCATCACCTCGCCTCCCTGTCCGGGGATGGGTGGGCGCTATCACTGCCTCGGGCAGCCTCTCCCGGTGGCACCTTTGGGTTCACACTGGAGGGACTTGGAAAGGAAGCCAAGCTCAGGTTGGCCCGGCTCTTTTGCTTGGCAGGTGGGCGCACACCCACAGCTCGCTCTCCTGGCTCTGCCCAGTCTGCACGGCTCTGGCGTGGTCCTGGTGGGATGAGTGGAGGGTCTGGTGGGGAGGTGCTCACTGCCTTGGTGAGAGCTCTGCTGCGGGGAAGGAGGCCTACCTGTCAGCTGCACTGGGCGCCCCAGGTGAAGCTCTTCACACTCTGCCCGGCGCCAGGCATGGATGGCAGCTGGGCACTTCTCCCGAGGTGGGCCGATCCTGCGCTGCAGCCCCGGAGATTCGCCTTCCCATGTGGGGTTGGGCTGCCTTCTCGGGCAGGGGAGGCTTTGTTGTAGTAGGGTGCCGTTTTTAAAAGAATTGGCTTTATCTTCGAAGGCAAAGGGGAGGCGGCGACAGGAGCACCTGAAGCCAAGTGTCTCCACAGGGCTCCAGTTGCAGGGAGGAGCCCTGACTGGCCACACGTGGCTGTGCTAAACACCGCGGTGTTGCTCTAACACCACAGCAGCAAGGGAGAAGGGAAAGCAACAGTGGCAGGTCTCCTCTTACGAAGTGCCCCACCAACGCCGAGGTCAACATCCAAGCTGTCACCGCCCACCCACCCAAGGTTGCAAAGGGGGGGAATTAAGTCACCCCTGAAAAGATGGCCTAGCTATTTTGGGGGGATGGGAGGGGTCAAAAAGAAATAAGGCCCGGCCTTATTTTGTGAGAAACACAGTAGATCATTAGAGATGAGTATTCCAAGGTTCTTTAGTGCTCTTGTGTTGTTATGGTTGAAGCTGAAGTATTCATTGACAGGTAGGACATTGCAATATATAATTTTATGTACTATACTTAGATCGGACCGAAGGCGGCGTAGTTCTAGGTTGTCTAGGTCTAAAATTTCAAGTCTGGTGGCATAAGGTATTTTGCAATGAGTAGAGGAGTGGAGAGCTCTTCTTGTGAAATATTTCTGGACTTGCTCAACTGTATTAATATCAGATATGTAATGCGGGTTCCAGACTGATGACCTGTATTCAGGTATTGATCCAGTGAATGTTTTTTATGCTCTAGTTAGTAGTGTGATATTATCAGAGAAAAAGCTACACAGGATTAGGTTAACAACTTTTAATGCCTTTTTAGTAGTTACAGTGGGCTCTAGCACTTAGAACATTAGAGGTGAGTACTCCAAGATCCTTGACAGAGTTTGGATCATCAGCAAGGTCTTGACTATTCAGCTTGTATTTTATTTTCTCATTTTTTTTGCCAATATGTAAGACAGAGCATTTATTTGTTGAGATTTGAAGTTGCCATTTGTTTGACCATTCTGATACATAGTCGAGGTCTTTTTGAAGGGTATCAGTATCGTCTGTGATGTTGAATAGCTTTATATCAACAAAGAGAATGCAGTTGCTCTTAATATGTTCACAGAGGTCATTTATGTAGAGTATGAAGAGACTTGGTCCTAGAACACTGCCTTGGGGGACACCACTGTTGACAGGTACAGAATTTGATAGGATGCTCCCAATTTTGACCATTTGTTGTCTGTTTGATAGGAACTATCCAGTTATGCAGTGTCCAGATATACCGTAAGATTTTAGTTTTAAGAGTAGTTTGTTGTGTACCACTGAATCAAAGGCTTTACAGAAGTCTATATAGATCATGTCTATTGCTTTGCCCTGATCGAGTTGTGTAGTCCATATGTTTTTGCAGTGTAAGAGTTACAGATTACAGGATAGTTTTTTCCTGAAACCAAATTGTTTATTGGAGAGTAGGTTGTTTGTCTCTAAGTGGAGGATAATGGATTGGTTAATAATTGATTCCATGACTTTCCAGGAGATGCAGCATAAGGAGATTGGTCTGTAATTTTCAGCTAGGCTGGGGTCTCCCTTTTTGAAGATGGGGATGACCGTGGCTTGTGACCATAGGTTAGGCAAGGAGCTGGTCCTGAAAGATTTTTCAAAGATTATGCTTAGAGGTTTAGCTATGGCAGTGGATAGCTTTTTAAAGAAGTAGCCACATATTCCATCCGGTCCAATAGATAGAGATGGTTTTAGATTGTGTAGTGTTGTTTCAACGTTGTCTTCTATAAAATCAATATGTATTAGATCACTGTAGTTGTCTGTGGTTCGGCTAGGAAATACTGGGCATGATCCATTGCTGTTTACAAATACTGAGCCGAAGAATGTGTTAAAGATGTTGGCTTTAATAGTGTCTTTGTTGCAGTCTTTACCATTAGATCTTATCAGGGGTGGGATGGACCTTGAGTCTTTTAGCTTGTTGTTTACAAAATTGTAAAAAGCGCAGGTGGAATTGGTGCATAGGTTTTCCTCTTGTTTAATGTGATAATTGGTGCATTCAGTCTTTATCTGGTGGCATAAATTTTTGTATCAGCTTTTGAAATTGGCAATGTGACCAGATTTGTTTTTCCGCCAGAGTGATCTCTTTTTGGATTGAAGCTTCCTTATTGTTATGGGTAATCTGTTTTTTTTTTTGGTGCGGGGAGTTGTTGTTGGTACATATAGTTTGATGACTCTTTTGACTTCAAGTAAAAATATGTTGTAATGGTCTTCAACAGTATTGCATCCAGTGAATAGAGATTGCCAATCAAGGGATGAGAGATCATTGTCTATAAGATCATAGTTGCCTTTTTTGAAGTTATAACTGGGGATTACATCATTGTGTTGATTTTTGTGTAAGCGTATGTTGAGACAAAAATCAATCATATTGTGGTCACTGCTGGAAAAGGGTTCTTTAGTTTGTATTCCGTAAATTAAATTCAAACTATTACAGAAGATGAGATCGAGGCAGTTGTTTAGTCTTGTTCCAGTCCCAGATTTGTAACAGCATTGTAGAAGGTTGCGTGTATGGGTTCAGTTGTACATTCATTTAGGGTCCAGTCAATATGAGGTAGATTGAAGTCACCAAGAAAGATAAAAGCGTGTGGGCAGGATGCTTCCCATGTTAGTAGTGTATTTAGCTTGTTTACATGTTCGATGTCATAAGTTACCGTGCTGGATTTTACTGCCATCATGAGCCGTCCAGAGTTTGCATTTCAGATCAGCGACCACAAACATCTATTGAATGAAGAAGTAAAGAATAAACTTCATTAATTCCCAGGGAAGGCACCCCCCTCCACCCTCAAGTAACATTTGCAGGGTTTTTGTTCCCTACACCACCGTGCAAAATGAAATGCAAAGCACGACTACAGGGCAACGCGCTCAGATTTTTCCATCCCGATTTTGCCGCGGCCTCGCCCTGAAGCCCGGCAGACGTCCAGGATCTAATGCGCCCGCCGCCCACCACAAGCCACCCTCACGGGAGCCCCACGGCCGGGCCCGGAGCGGTCCTACGTGACCCGCTCAGCGTCGCGCGCAAAAACCGCCCTTTCGCCAGCCAGGTGGGCGGAACCGATGGGCTACGGTTCGGGCGCTCGCCTCAGTAAGGCTGGGGCGCTTATTGGCTGAGCCGAGCACGCGCGGATTGGCCGGCTCCTTGCCGGAGCGGCGTCACTCTTCCTGACGCCTCGTTCGGCAGGACTGAGGGGCGGCGAGAGGCGAGTGCCAGCTGGCTGGCCGTGGGGCGGGTTGTGTCGCGATGTTGCTCTCGCCGCCGCCGCCGCCGCCCTCGTCCCTGCCCTGTGGGCGGGCGGCAGGCGGCTCCCCTGGCCTTGGGGCGCGAGCGGCCGGGCCGGAGCTCCAGAGGGAGGCTGCTCCCCGACAGCCGCCCGACGAAGAAGGGGAGCGAGGCCGCGCCGGAACTATGCCCGAGTGCACCCCGCTCCGGACGGCTGGAGCCGGCTCAGAGCCGGCCAGGGCGTCGTCCGAAGCGGAGGCCGCTGCGTCAACTGCCCAGGAAGAAGGAGAAGCAAGAGCAGCAGCAGCCGAAGACTCGTGTCCCCGGTGGGGACCCCAGCACGCGGGAGCCCGGGAGCTGGCTGAACTGTATTCCCCCGGTAAGGAGGGACGGGGGGTGGGAGAGACTTTCAAAGGGTCCCTCGCCCGTCCCGGTGGGCCCTGGATAGTGATGCGAGGCTGTTAACGAAAAGTGGCCCGGTTCGTCCATCTCGTTCATCCTTCTCTGCCTCTCCTGGGATTATTGCGCACTTGAACGGCTCCTTGAAACACATTGCCCGGGCAGGTCGTCGGAATGAGCCTTTATAAGGGTTGAATCTGCAAGTTGAATCTGCAAGTTAGGATTTAAAACAGTTGACTTTGTTCACAGGCTTTAAAAAAAAGTGGCGCTGAGTAGCTGATGTCGGATATGTTAGGATCCCTTCCTCATTTCCGGATCAGATTTAGTAAATCTGGAGAGTAGGATCTTTTTAATTCAGTTAACGCTGCCTTAGCTGCAAGCTGGCTACGGCCCTGGGCCAAGCAGTAAATCTAGTCTTAAAAGAGGACATAAAAAGGTATGGGACATAAAATAAGGGCTGGGCCTCATCTACAGTTGTTGTCTTCTTGTTTTAACCTGTTTGTTCAGGTATTTGGTTTAAGAATGTACAGATAATATTTCTTTTCTTTTTCAAGTCAGTAATGGGTGAGCATCTCAGGTTGTCCTTACAAAATCAGAAAACTCATGTTAAAATACTTGGAGGAGCTTGGTTTGTCTTCAGCTTCCTATTTAATGCACTCTGGGTTTCCCCTTATGAATGTACGAAGTGGAACCCTATTACTTGTCTGGAATGGAAATTGCTGAAAATTTCAAGGGAGTAGTCAAAAGCATACCACAAGATTAAAGTGGAAATCCACCTTCATGCTGTTGTCAAGAAAACTTCATGATCTGACTAGAAATCAAACTCTTTAAGACAGTTTTCCCTCTTAAGAGTTAAAGCAGTATGCTCATGTTGGCAAAATGACTTCTAGCAAAATAGCCATGCTAATCTATGTACTATGGATTCATACATCTTGCTAATGGAAAAGCAAACTCTACTTTATGTCTTATAATTGACATAAGATTGTCATAAGATTGTCATCTTATGATTGTCTCTGTTTGTCATCAGTTGGGGTGTATTTGGAAATCATGGCCTAGTACAAATCAGGACATCCTATGTGTTATAAAATGATTGTCATCTAAGTCCCTCTGTTTTTGTCCGTAGATTCTCTGAAGGTTTGTCCAAAATCCAGGGCATTATAGTTTGTAGAGGAGTGTCAAACTCAAAGCGTCACGTGATGTATTGTGACTTTTTCTCCCTTTGCTAAACCAGGGGTGGGTGTGTCTAGCGCATGGCACATCTGGCCCATGGGCCGCAAGTTTGACACACCAGTTGTAGAGTATTAGCTTTATTTCAAACAGCTTTTGTTGGTTACAAAAAGCTGCACATTTTATTCAAACATTATGCCATTCATTTTCAAATTTTATGCAATTTATATGCAACTCTAGCCTTTGCATAGTACAGTATGCCTTTCAAGATTAATTGAGTAACTCAATCATTTCTCTTTTGGTGAGCAGTTAAAAGATCAAGCTAGAAACCAGGAGATCATGAGTTCTAGCTCTGCCTTAGGCACAAAGCCAGCTGGGTGACCTTGGGTTAACCTTGTTCAAACCTAGAAAGGAAACAATGGCAACTGCTTCCGAAAAGCCTTGCCAAGCAAACTATAGGGACTTGTCTAGACAGTCTCCAAGAAACGGACATGATTAGTGGAAGGGGGAGGGGGAATCTCTTAAGTAAATATATTTTTCTTCCTTCTCCTGTCCCCAAAAAGTTTTCCTTAATGATTGTGGCAGAAATTGATACTATAATCTGTGCTGTATACTATTTTGACTCCTGATGACTATGTGGACAGATGGATAAAATTTTGAAAGTGATTTGCAGGTATCTTCTTTCTAAGGTTGAGAGAAAATAGGTCAAAATCATTGAACTATTTTTAATGCCACTCTCTTCTTGTTTTAAACCAGCATCTTTAACCATTAGGCCAACTGACTCTTTTATATAGTTCTTCTGGGTTATATAAAGTACATTATACATAGTTGGTATCAGTTTAGCATGAGAAAAACAGGAGCATGTGGGTAGTCTTCCTTCTGAAAAATTACTGGTTCAAAATTCTCTGTCAGCACAACAATCATATATGCAATTTGATAATCTGATTCAGCCATAATCATTGCATCTGGCCGCATGCTTTTTCTCATAAACCTGAGTGCTGATTCTATTGGGAAATTCTTATCAGTTTCAGAGCCAGTTTGCTGGGCTAGAAACTGCACAGCTATGATTAGGTTCTAGTGATGCTTCAGGCATGAAAGCCAACTGGATGACTTTGTGCCAATCAATTTGTCTCAGCCCAACCCACCTCACAGAGTTGATGTGAGGAAACTAGGAGGTAGGGGTGTATATGCCATCTTGAGTTAACAAAAATGATAATCTAATGAATGAGCATTAATTGGAGTGTCCTCCAAATGTTTTGAACGACAACCTTCAATAGGGCCAGTCTACATAAAGTAATAGTTGAAACTGAGATACAGAAAATCTAGGTCATCCAACTCCACAGCAATTCTGAAGTTGCACACAATATTAAAAATAATGTAGCACAACAATAAAGGAAAAAATAGTAAATGCTCAAAAAGAATAAAACCAACATCTCAATCATACATCATTCCCACAGGGAGCCATCCATCCAATCTAATTCAATATCTGGGATAGTCTGGGATAAATGCCAGATTTTAAAGACCTTTTTGAAGAAGGCTAAAGTAGAAGCAGGGTAAATCTCTGGGGTGACATTGTCCAGAGTTATCCTTGATTCAGATTATATCACTGGGTCAGAAAAATTAACCTTTTGGGGAGTTATCAATATGTGGCATAAGATATAGTAGGGCTAGGTAAAGTCTCCCCCGCACATGTGTGCTCGTTGTTTCTGGCTCTAGGGGTGGTGCTCTTCTCTGTTTCTAAGCTGAAGAGCCAGCGCTGTCTGAAGACGTCTCCGTGGTCATGTGGCCAGCACGACTAAATGCCGAAGGACACGGAATGCTGTTACCTTCCCACCAAAGTGGTCCCTATTTTTCTACTTGCATTTTTACATGCTTTCGAACTGCTAGGTTGGCAGAAGCTGGGACAAGTAACGGGAGCCCACTCTGTTACGTGACGCTAGGGATTCAAACCGCTGAACTGCCAACTTCTGATGAACAAGCTCAGAGTCTGAGCCACTGCGTCCCTTACAGTAGGGCTAGTAGTAGCTAATAATAATAATAAGCATGCATATTCAAAATCTTGTTTGGATCCATTCAAAGATAGATTTCGTCCTTTTCTCCTTTCCAAAGGCTTGAATAAGCATTTTAAGATAATGAAGGTTTGGCAGGCATGTAATATAGAAATCTGGAAAACTTCAGAGATAGCCTTTTCTGTTCTCTACAGGGTTTAAAAATAGAAAGCCAGAAACAAAAATCAAATTGGTGGATGGGATCTGAATCAAGCAAGGATTATGAATCTTGTACTACAAGTACTGTAAAAATGGATTGTAAAATGTCGCCCTTAAGTCTTTTCATTTGATACTTGACCTGACACCTAATGCTATAAAAATGTTGGCTCTCTCCTTCATTCAGGATATAGCATGTGTTTCCACATGGAGTGCATGTGTGATTTTTGAATTGCTTTTCTCTCTGCTTTGAAAGGTAACACCCCAGTCATCCTACATACCAATGAATGAAGCTTATTCATGCAAAGTATCAGCTGAACTGCTTGGTTTAATCTGGTTTATTAGTTCCTTGTCTTAACTGGTAAATGTTCAGTGTTTAAGTAGCAATTTTTCAAGTTTGAACTTAATTTCAGTGTGTAAGACAACCTTATCTGTTTGCAGTTTATTCAATTCAGAAACACCATAGAAGCTGTTTGATGTATTTGGTCACCTGGCAAGTCATAAAATATTGCAGAGCTCCCCAGTCATAAAGTATGCTTTGGAATACAGATGTTTAGAGCAGAATCACATTCTTAACTCTTAACATAGCCTTTCATGTCAATTTGGCATTCTTCAAAAGTTTAAAATTCAGGTCCATAATCCAGCATTGTCCCAGTAGTCTAAGACTATAGGAGTGATAGTCTTTAACAGATACAGAAGGTGGTCGGTTGAGAAGCTACAGTGGCATGTCTTGTGTTTTTGATTGCTCCACAAACAGCTCTGATGAAAAAGATAACATATTTTACTGTTAATTGAGGATTCAGTAAACTGCTTTGTCAAAAATATCCTCTGGGACATTTTTGTTTTTTATACAAAGAGTTTTTGTTCTCTTACTTAAGGCTTCACATAACAATGCTCACATGTAAAATCTCTTATTACTACTTGGCCTCGTGCAAAATCCAAAGACAGATGTGTGAATGAATCATTGGCAGTGGGACGTTTTGGGAGGTTTGAAATATATTTAATTTTAACAGCTCTAAACTACCATTAACTTCATTAGAAATCCTCAGGTTCTAACATTACAGTGTGAAAGAGAAATATTGGTACTAATAGAATAAACTATTTGTAGTTCAGTGTTCTACTGTGGAGTACTTGGTGCTCTCTGTCCTTGGTTGTTTTCTTGCAAATGTTTCATTACACAACTAGGTAACATCTTCAGGACTAGAGGGAGTTGGGTTTGCTCTCTGTTTATATACAGTGGCTTTCATATCAGTATTGGTGGGAACGTTGTTTTCTTTTTAGCTTTTTGATTATCATGAAGAAAATAATGCTCCCACTAATTAGGTAATGAAATGTCTGCAAGGAAACAACCAAACTCAGCACTAGAAATTCCAAAGAGGAAATATTGACTTATTTTCCTCATACCATATATCATTCTGTTATGCCTCCGGCATGTCCTACCTTATTAGTATTTTTTAAATATCTGAATCCAAATTGTAATATTTCCATATACAAAACTTAGTTCTAGACGGGAAGAAGGCGGAGCCTCCTCGTTGACGGATGGTAGATCGCAACTCTGCGGCTATGGTCCGTGCTCTTTCGTTGGAGAGCCCCAATTATTATGATTAGGGGCTGAAGCTGCCTTGGAGGGGCGGCGGAGTAAGGGGAAGCTGCAAGCCAGGTTGAGAGGAGCCACATCTCCCCCCCGGGCTTGGTCTTTTTCCCCCCAAAGACAACTGCAGCGGTGGTTTAAAATGGCCACCCCGAAGAGGACTCAGCTGGATTAAGATTTGTGCAGGAGGGAAGAAAGAGGTGGATAACATCTGAACCGGGACAACTGGGCAATACAACTAAACAAAAGTACCCCAGGATTAAGGTAACATGGAATGTTTAAGAAAAGAAAAGTGAGCGGCGAAATTACAAAGGGACAGAGAGAAAAAATGAAAATATTTTTGACAGCTAACCGGGGCTTCAAACTGGGAAAGGAAGAAGCTGGAACTAAAGATTTAACAAAATTGGACTAAAATATTTTGGGAATAAACAGGCATAAAATAAAGCTGGATTTAAGATTGTCAAAAAATAATAATAATAGAGTTTACAAATTCGAGACTGGACTGTGCTGGAATATTGAGGTTCGAAAAACCCTAAATAAAAAAAATAGGGGAAAAAGGTGAAGACTTTGTATAATGGAGAGTGTCACCTTTTGCCAAAAACTTGAGCTCAAACAAAAAGGAAAACATCCTGTTTCTGAATGAACTTGTGTGGATATAACATCACAGAAATATTGAAACAAAGTAAGAATCTTAGAAAGTGAAAGCAGAACTAGAGTAAAGAAAAAAGCAAGGAAAGACTGACTGTGGGATTGATTGATGTTTTTGGTATAGACCCTGGGCTGGAATAACTGAGAACTTTAGAAAATTGAAAGAAGAAAGAAGGAAAGTAAAAGTGGTTTTTTTGTGGACTTTAACGATCATGAAATATGAATATGTAATGATGATATCTCTTCGGGAATTAAAAATGGAACTTAAAAATATGAGAATTACTACAGGAAAGAGGCGAATCACTTTGCTCTGTGTTAGAAAAAATGGAAATGGCGATTGAAGAACAAGAAGAAAGAGCGTCAGAGGAGGAGGAGTCGACTCAAGGAGAAGACATTTTAAATAGACAATTAACACAAAGAACACTACAAAGAAGTTGGGAAATAAGGAAAGTTAAAAAGTTGAGACTTAAGAAGGCAATCAAAAGAGGGAATACCTGTGAAGTCAGGAGAGGCAGACAGACCCA